AGGCTGAGGCAAGAGAATTGCTTAAGCCCAAGAGTTTGAGATTGCTGTGAGCTGTGACACCACAGCACTCCACAAGAACTAATAATGCTTTGGCATTCTTTTGTTGGAAGTTTCATCTTTGCTTCTGAGTTTTTCTCTCTTGCCCCATCCCACCCCACACCTGCTTTTCTGGGAACAGACTCTCCCTAGGGGCCACAGGGGCTTCTGAGGATTTAGTGTCACTCCAGTAGCTTTGTAACGCATTCTAGGCCCACACGCCCTCTTCCATAGATGGGATTGTTGGTTTTGCAGCATCTTAGGAGGACTTACCCATACTGTACATTTTGACATCCTTATAAAACTCTGAGCCACAGAAAACTTCCTTAAATTGTAGTTCTTTGTTTTTTCCTAGGGACCATATTCTCTACAGAAACCTGGTTTGGTCTTAGAAAAATGCTCTGGGGATAAGTTTTATCATGGTGAGGTAGGAATCTTAAGTTTGGTTTCTTGGCAGTTTTTCTTTCGTGTGTGTGTGTGTGTGTGAGATGACTGCATGTGAACTCAAGTTTTTAGACAAAGCTGAACTAGGATCTCACAGCTTCCTATGTTCTAGATATTCCTTTGCTTTTTTTCATCATTCCAGAAACATCAATAAGGTGTGGGCAATGTCTTATTTCCACAGATTGGGGGGGGGGGGTGTGTCATCATTTGTTGGACCCATTCGTTAAAATAAGTTGTCAAGTCTTTTAACTGGACTGCTTTTGCACAACGCCCTCTTGGTCGTTAGTGGTTTGTGTGGCAGATAAGGCCTTAGTTATAACGGGGGAAAAGTGATAATCACGCTGTAGTTTTAAAACATAAAGATCACTGTGTTTTGGCTACTTAAATTCTAATTCCAGCATTTCGCAACCTCATTTAATATAAAAGGGATGGTAAAATTTGCCTTTTTCCTGTCCAGCATTGTAGGAGGATTGAGGAAGGACAACATATTCTCCTCCTTGTCAGGTTTACAGAATCCAAGTGTGGGTTATTTTTTCCTTTCTCTGGAAAACTTTAGTAAGTCCGTCGAGAAAGGAAATAAGGAATAGCCCCTATGATTCAGCAGAATTCCCCTTAGAACAGTGGTTCTCAACCTTCCTAATGCTGCGAGCCTTTAATACAGTTCTCATGGGTCACGACCCACAGGTTAAGAACCGCTACCTTAGTATGAAGTGAGTTTTTAGTACACTTGTGTATAGCAAGCGAGCACTGGAACACTGGGCCCTTTCCTGCATACGCTCACTGGCTTTCTTGGTGACAAAATGCTTCCCTCAAACAAAAGACCTTTTGTTTCCTGCAATGGCATCAATCCATTCCTTGGGCACTGACCCTTCCCTTTACAAAGGGGCACCCAGATGACCATAGGTGCGGTCAGCTCTCAGACTAGGGAAGCAGATTCCAGTGCATCAGAGCACACCTGGGAACACATCCCACTCCCTGCTCCTTCCCCTGGAGGGCAAGTCATCTTAGTCCCCCCTGACTCTTTATTCTCTCCTTTCTCACTTTCCAAGGTCATTTTACACAGCATGGATTTATAGTTATGAAACAGGGTATTTATCTGGGTTGAGGTAACCCTTACAACCAACATTCAATATGAGATAACTAAATTAGAAGGAGGACTATACATTAAACATACACAGGTTTTATTGATGAAAATGTAATGTGCCCCAGATGAAAACTGCAGTCTTAGTAATTTAACTTTTATTATCTGAATGATTAAACTGGACTAATTCCCAATTTTAAATTTCAATCCATTTAGCAGATAAACACATTCATATTGATATAGTACGAAAAATACAAAATTTAGTTGTAATTTTTTAAAAAGCAAATTTTTCCAATGCATTGTGTCAATAAAACACATAGGAAGGAAGACAGGTTTATAGATTTTCTTTAGAGGAAGTGAGATACCAACTTTTATGTTAGTGTCAGACTACCATGCAAGACTTGGCAGAGGCAGCAGTCATAGCCTTTTGTGTAGCTGAAAATGTAACAAAATGAATTTTTAGAAAGCACAAAGAAACAGCTACTCAGTAGGTCCCTCATAGTAGCAATACTAATAGCTATATGCTAAAAATGCGGAAGTTCTCAAAGCAATATATTTCCACTCTATCCTCTGTTACCTGACTTACCTTTAACTTACCAAAGAAAAGCAGTTCCAGTAAACAATTGCTATTAATGCCAAGTTCACTTAAAATGTTGGTTAGATCCTCGATATGAAAGCCCACCCTGAATTACCAAACCATGGTATGACGGTGACAGATGACTAAAGATGGGCATGTGCAGTGAGGACTGTTAAGACCAATTAAGAGGGTGGCTCACCCCTGTAATCCTGGCGCTCTGGGAGGCTGAGGGGGAGGATCCCTTGAGTTTAGGAGTTCAAAACAAGCTTGAGCGAGAGCAAGACCCCGTCACTACTAAAAATAGAAAAAAATGCTTAGGTGTCATGGCAGGTGCCTGTAGTCCCAGCTATTTGGGAGACTGCGTCAAAAGGACCGTTTGGCCCAAGAGTGAGGTTACTGTGAGCTAGGCTGACGCCACAAGCACTCTAGCCTGGACAAGAGAGTGAGACTGTCTCAATTTAAAAAAATAATTAGAATATTGGGCAGCAATCTGGGCTAGCAGTCCCTGGGGGAAGGGAGAGGTACACTGTGGCTGTCACACACCCCATGGAGTACCAGGCTGCAGTCAAAAGCATCACACCTGGTGTCCATACATGCAGGGCGGACCTACCTCACCATCAGAGTGCTTAGCACAACAGGCAAATGAGATCGGTGTCGATCAGTGTCCCATCAGCAGGCAGGGAACCACGATAAACCTTTTAAACAGAGAGAGGATTCCATTCTAAGCATTAGTGATAGAGGTGTCAGAATTGCTGGATGAAGAACAGTGGAAGGTGAGGCGACCCACAGATTTGAACCTGCAGGCAGCAAAAGGGAAAATGGTGTTGCCAGGAGCCCATTTCACCAGCTGCTGCTACCATTGCTCCTGGGAGAGTTCTTGTCAGAGAGCTTCTCCCCTCCCCCAGCAGAAAAGCTCCTCCCATCCTCCACTTGCAGTCTCCCACCCTTGTCTCTCATCAGCAGAACCTAAGGGGTAGAAAGACAAAGAGGGCGCTGGAATACAGTGTTCAGACTTGTAACCCCAGGAGAAGATGGCTAGTGAGAGACAACAGACATGACCCAGTGCAGCCCACTGCTTAGGCTCCCCAGCAACAACACGCCCCCTATTTAGACTTCCATATCCCAATGATAACTGCAACCCCATGCTTCTGCCCAGCCGGATGCAACCATTACTCATATAAATGAAGACACACTCACCCTCTCCACAAAAAGTTAGACACAAAGCCCCACTGGCCACTGCCTCCATCTCTGAGTTATGTGAATTCCTCTTTTAGTTCACTCATCAATCCCACCTGCACTTCCTACTATCCAAAAACTACATTGTAAGGTTTCAACTTTTTGCATGTAAGTTACTGGGGGAAGATAGTGAGGCAAAATGATTAATGTATACAGAAGAAAATATGCTACAGTTGGCTGCTACAGTTGGCTGCTACAGTTCATGCCTGTAATTGCTCATGAGGCATTGGCTAACATCAGAATATCTGTGTTTGTAGGACACAAACACGTGGCAGTTCTACAAATGGTACCTTGGGGTTCAGATCCAGGTACTCAGGATCTGCCCACAGTTTCTGTTGGGTACCAGAGTGTCTACAGGTGGGAGTCTGACCAGATAGCATTCACTGGCATGTGTT